AAACAGATAAAATTCGATCGTCGGGAGAATTAATGATCGATTTGCGATTAATCATTAACGTTTTTATATTAAAAGTATCATCATTATTATTACTATTACTAATCTGCATAAATAAACACAACTTTACAACATATTAATTTAATGTATTTTTAATAATCATTTTATAAATTATTATTATTATTATTGTTGTTATTATTATTATTGTTATTATTATTATTATTATTATTATTATTATTATTATTATTATTATTTTTATTTTAATTTTATATATTTTTATTATTATTTTTATTTATTTATTTATTTTTTGTATGAGTGTTAGTTTTCTGTTTAGCTAAGTTTGTCTTGTTGTGGATGTGCTGGGTATCCAATCCCTCAAACTTGACAAATTATAAAAAAAAAAAAAAAAAAAAAAAAGTATCACCATTATAATTACTTTTACTAATCTGCATAAATAAACGCAACTTTACAACATATAAAGTTTAAACCATAACGACTCTAGAGCCACATCAGCCCGTTTGACATTATAATGTGTTTAAAGCAGCTTTGACACATTTATTTATGTTTTAAAGAAACTAAACTTAAAACCACATGACTCATTTGCATAAACTATAAGCGCTGATAAAAACAGCTCTTTCCTTGTGCTGATGCAGTTCAGCTTCTGTTGGACTAAAGGACACAGTGACTCAGTGGAGCATGAGTGTTCTCTCTGTGACAGAGGGGTGTTCTGCTGATGGTGAGTCTGTTCTGTGTGTGCGTCGTGTTGGAGATGGTTCGTGTTTTCAGAGATCAGACGTGCGCAGGTTTAGAGCAGCTCTTTATGTGTGAAGAAGCCCTCAGTCGTCCAGGTAGAATCCATGACAAGGAGAAAATTCCGTTGGTCCCTCCAGACAGATATAAGGAAGTGTCCACCAGCGTCTGACCAGAACTGAAGAAGCAGCTTGGATGAACTGCGAAACGTCTTCCACCAAACTCACTTTTGTCCAGTCGACAAACTGAATTTTCTCCTCGCCACAGCAGCTCTTTATGTTGCAGTAACCGGGACATTGTGTTTACATGCACCACGAGGAAACCGGGATGCTCAAAAATCCGATCATACCCGGGACGCTGATGTTTGTAAACACACTCACTGAGGGGAACAGTGTGTCCAAGGAGCCAGAGCCCAAACGTGGGACTGTGAGGACGAGACTCCAGTGTTTGTGTCAGAAATGAACGTAATCGCTGTATAATGTAAGTGTATGTGTATTTATATATAACATATAGGTTGTTCTTGTTATTGTATGTGTATTGTTTATATATGTATGTATATGGATATTTCCTGTGCAGGTGTTTTGTTTTGTTTTTTATTTATTTTTTCAAATTTTATATATCTTAATTTCTAAGTTTTTCTGTCTCTGAATAATTCAAATGTAAAAATTGTGAAATATGTTGATAGAGACGATGCTATGTATATTTTGTATATCTTAAAAAAGAAATGAACGTAATCGATGAAATTCTTAATGATCAATTATTATTATTATTATTGATTAGTCGACTAACCATGCCCATCCCCAGTTACTATTATAAAACAATGCATTTAAGCAAAGGGATTTGTAATTTGATATATTTTGACAGCCAATGTTACTGTAGATATTATTGTGAGACGTTTAGCGATACGATATTACGATATTACGATATTTCTGTTATTGTTACATCTTGAGTGACAGAAGAAGTGACCCACTGTGTTTTTAAACTCCATACGCCTTCACTAGAATTATTTGGATAATATCAGAGCTGGAATTGCCAATTTGAACTGAACTTAATGTAAAAAAAAGAGCTGTGTTAACTTGAAAACTACCACTTCATGACATCACAAGGTGGAACAGAGCGTTTTGAGCTTTGGAGATGTAGTTAAACTAAAAATAAAGGAACAAAACACAACTTCAGTTCTGTTTTTGAGGAGGAAACAACATTAGAACACGACTTAAACCTCACAAGAGTCAATTTTTTATAATATAGAACCTTTAAAGCGCAGATATATGTAACCTGGAATGTTCCACAGTGCGGCATTAAACGTATTTGTGTTGCTTTTCTTCCCGTATCTTCCCGTGTTTTTTAACGCGTTCTTACTGAGAGTGGGCTCGCCTCTCCACAGATCTGACCCGTATGTAGCGGCGTAGTGGAGACTGATGCTCGTCTCCGTGGAAAAAGATGTTTAATGTCATACTGCGGAACATTCCAGGTGAAGCAGGAGCATCTCCGTGGAAACAAGCAGGGCCACGAGATAAATTTGCACAGTGCATCTCCAAATAAAATCAAATACGTGCAAACACTACTACTACTACTACTACTACTACTACTACTACTACTACTACTACTACTACTACTACTACTCCGTTTACAAATACCTGAAAATGTTATTACAATTAATTTGATTAATTTGGGAAAAATTAGCCTAATTTATTTAATGAATATTTGCCGTATCTTCTTAGTATCTTGTTTAACGATATGCAAATTAACCAAGTAGCTGTTATTTTTATGTAAATTAGTATTTTTGTGATTCTCAACTGGCGGTTCAAGGTCCAAAAGCGGCCGGAGTTTAACTAAAAGTGATTTCCAGTGATATTTTACAAGATTTTACAGTTTAATTGTGATGAAAAAAGGTCAAATTCATCTTATTTAAGTCTGGATTTTTGCAAAAAGTTCAGATACAAAACAAAAAAAAATAAGATCTGAATAAAACCAGGGGAGAATCACTGTATTAGTCAATGACAATGTTCCTGTTTTATATGTTTTTGGTCTGATCTGGAGTTAAGATTAGGGCTGCACAGTAAATTAAATTACACTGAAATTGGAGAAATAAATAATAAGAGAGCTTGGACTGGCTATGGTTAAAATCTAAACTTGGGCTAAATAAGAAATAAAAGATCAAAATCAGCAAATAACAATAATAAAATAATAAAAAATGGCTTTATATTTATATTTAATAACATTATCAAGGCCTCACAACTCAAATAAAAATAAAAGTTATAATTTTAAGTACTTAGAACTCCTAACTGCACTCACGAGAGTTAAGTTTATTATGTAATGTTTTTAAGTTTACATAAATAATCTACATAAAGGAGGAACAGTGTTTATTAAAAACTGAATGGTGGGAGTCAGAACTATGGCCCAGGGTCCAAATGCGGCAGATTTTTATTGCTGAAATGGCCCGAACGATCAAAGACAGTAATTTTAAGAGGAGATTTAAGTATTTCTACCACTCTGGGCCGTATCTTGCCGTGGTTTTTCCGTGAGCGCTGGTGTAAACGAGAGAGCTGGAGTATGTGCAGATACACAAACGGTGACGGCGTCTGAATCTGTGACGCTGTGGTGTTTAAAATCACCTCCAGTGTGGGTAAAGTCTGCAGTTTTTGCCTCATTATAAGCAAAACGAGGTAAGTGTGCACCAATGGAGGCTCCAGGATTATAGAATTTTTGATGGGTCATCACAGAACCGGCTTTACTTGTGTCCTGTGAACATGTGTGTCGCTGTGAGCCCGTGCACACACACTCACGCCAACTATAGTTTTTCTCTGCGTTCCTTTGTTCTTTTGCCGCTCATTATACGCAGCAGACCGGCGTCGTTCTTGTGCGCTCCTCATCAAACTGCAGACCCGCTGATCTCCTGTCTTAGCCTGGTCGCTCCCGCCTGTCCCTGCAGTCCGTTCCAGTCCGTTCCTACAGTCCATTCCAGTCCTTTCCTACAGTCCGTTCCAGTACGTTCCTACAGTCTGTTCCAGTTCCTACAGTCCGTTCCAGTTCCTACAGTCCGTTCCAGTCTGTTCCTGCAGTCCGTTCCTACAGTCCGTTCCAGTCCGTTCCTAAAGTCCGTTCCAGTCTGTTCCTGCAGTCCGTTCCAGTCCGTTCCTGCAGTCCGTTCCAGTCTGTTCCTGCAGTCCGTTCCTACAGTCCGTTCCAGTCTGTTCCTACAGTCCGTTCCAGTCTGTTCCTGCAGTCCATTCCTAAAGTCCGTTCCAGTCCGTTCCTACAGTCCGATCCAGTCTGTTCCTGCAGTCCGTTCCAGTCCGTTCCTGCCGTTCCTGCAGTCCGTTCCTACAGTCCGTTCCTACAGTCCGATCCAGTCCGTTCCTGTAGTCCGTTCCAGTCCGATCCAGTCCGTTCCTGCAGTCCGTTCCAGTCCGTTCCTGTCCGTTCCTGCAGTCCGTTCCTACAGTCCGTTCCAGTCCGTTCCTGCCGTTCCGGTCCGTTCCTGCAGTCCGTTCCTGCAGTCCGTTCCGGTCCATTCCTAAAGTCCGTTCCTACAGTCTGTTCCACTCTGTCCCTGTAGTCCACTCCCGCTTGTCCCTGCAGTCCATTCCAGTCTGTCCCTATAGTCCGTTCCAGTCCGTTCCAGTCCGTTCCAGTCCGTTCCAGTCCGTTCCAGTCCGTCCCTGTCCGTTCCTGCAGTCCTGCAGCACTTTAGAATAGTGCTGTAAACGGCCTCGTGCAGCTTTTGAACAAATCGTGATCAAACCAAACTGTCGAGCAGCGCGGAGCCGATACAGGGAGCGGGCGTAGGGTTCTGCTCTGCTGCAGGAGGGGATCCGGACGGCGCACGAACATCCTGGACTTTTTCAGTGGATTAGTTTGATATTTATTTTTACGATTCTGGCAATTCACCACACCCTCAGTCTGCTCCACCTGATGTTCAGACACGGCACGCCTCTTGTCCAGAGCTCCACGCCTGCACTCTCGCAAAAACCAGAGGCAAGATACGACCCTGTACCGTCAATTGCATCACATTACATCGTGATACAGATCTAAATTTAATGTTCCAATCCTTATTAAAGGTTTGTGGGCTCCGACAGAACTATGTTAAATGCTTCAGTTACAAGATATTATTTTCTTACATATTTACTTTAATTTCTTACATTTCCTATTGATCCATATCACAAAGTGCAGCCCTAACACTTCTGCCTGTAACACCAGCCCTCTACAGTTATTACACTTGAGTTAAACTAAACACGTGTCCGGTCTCTCACCATAGCGGCCGCCTGAGCAGCCACGGCGGTCTGGTTGGCCTGGTGCTGGGCCGCCTTGATCTTGGCCTGGAGGTGGGCCGGGGGGTGGAAGTATTTGCACTTTTCTCTGGAGCAGCGGCTCTTGATGAAGTCCATGCACACGGTGACGGTGTTGTCACTGGTGTCGATCATGGGCGAGTCCGACGGGTGAGCGAACCTGCAGTCCGTCTCCCCCCGGGCGCAGTTTCCACGCTGGAACTCACGGCACACCTGACGAGGAGAAGAAGAAGAGGAGAAGAGGAGAGAGATGAAGCTATAGGTGTGTTCGTGATCTAGAAACTTAAGGCTTTTTTTGGTTAATTAAACAGCTCTACTTTACATTTATTCAAGTACAGGTGGTTTAAGAGCTCAAAAATACTCTGCAAATTTCCCTGATTTGCCCAAGATTTTAACATTTTTCAGGTTATTCATCTTGTTTTCAGATTTATTATCTACTTACTAGACCAGAGAGTGTTTAATTCTAGTCTGGAGGTCGTTTATTTTAAGATAATTTGTCAAGTAAAATGATCTTGCAGCAAGGACACACAATTTCACCACTTTTAAGTCATTTTCTGATACATTAAAGTGTTTATATCTAAAACTTTTTTGCGGTGTACCTAGAAAAACAGGCATTGTGACTGTGAGCGGGGTCGCCTCTCCACAGATCTGACCTGTAACTTGGTCTGGTTTGGTCTCTGTGACGATAGAAAGGTTTAATGCCACACTGTGAAACATTCCAGACAAAGACCATGGCCTTTTGCTCATTTATATGTCATACACATTTATATTTGGTCAAAATTTGGCCTGTGAGATCAAATCAAACATGTATTAGAGCTGCAGATCGACTATAGAGACATTATTTATTTAAAATGTTGTTATTATTTTATATTCTACGTGTTCTGGATTCAAAGTTTATGCAAAATTATTAAGAAACATTTATTTTAATAAGAAAAAGTTTAACATCACATCTCATCTCCAAAGAAGAGAAAACATGATAACAAACTCTAAACTATTAAGACTCTATACCAGGGTCTAACACAATACTAAACCAGGACTAAACCAGGACTAAACCAGGACTAAACCAGGACTAAACCAGGACTGAACAAGGACTGAACCAGGACTAAACCAGGACTGAAAGGAAACAACTGGACTAACCAACAGACTAAACCAGGACTAAACCAGGACTAAAACTAAGGACTAAACCAGGACTAACTAACAGGACTAAACCAGGACTAACCAGGACTAAACAGGACTGAACCAGGACTAAACAGGACTAAACCAGGACTGAACAAGACTAACCAGACTGAAAGACAAACCAGACTGAACACTAAACCAGGACTAACCAGACTAAACCAGGACTAAACCAGACTGAACCAGGACTAAACCAGACTGACTAAACCAAACCAGGAACCAACTGAAAGGACTGGACTGAAAACCAGGACTGACTAAACCAGGAGACTGACTAACCAGGACTGAACCAGGACTGAACCAGACTGAACAAGGACTAAACCAGGACTAAACCAGACTAAACCAGGACTAAACCAGGGAACCAGGACTGAACCAGGACTGAACAAGGACTAAACCAGGACTGAACCAGGACAAACCAGGACTAACCAGGACTGAACAAGGACTAAACCAGGACTGAACCAGGACTAAACCAGGACAACCAGGACTGAACAAGGACTGAACCAGGACTGAACCAGGACTAAACCAGGACTGAACCAGGACAAAACCAGGACTGAACCAGGACTATACCAGGTCTAATACAGGACTAAACAAGGGCTTAACCAGGATTAAACCAGGTCTAAACCAAGACCAAACCAGGACTAAACCAGGACTAAACCATGTCTAACCCAGGACTATACCAGGGCTAAACCAGGTCTAAATCAGATCAAAATCAGGTCTAAATCAGGTCTAAATCAGGGCTAAACCAGAACTAAACCAGGTCTAAATCAGGTCTAAATCAGGCCTAAACCAGGTGTAAACCAGGCCTAAACCTAAGCAGAAACTAAATCTAAAAACAAGATGAATAACCTAATAATTTGCAGTGTCATTTTAACGTAAAACAGCTCCTTTTTTTCGTTTTTTACCTTTTTATTTTAGTACAGATCGTCAATTCCAGAGCAGATTTTAGTTTTCTGTTGTAGAAAAGAACTCAAAACACGACTCCAGGTCTGTTTTTGACGAGGAAACAACATTATAACATTAAAAAATACCATAATACATGTCGTTTAAAAGCTGCCCTGTGGAAAACAAAATCAAACCAGCGCTGTGATTATGAAAAAAAAAAAAAAAGGAGGAGTTTTCAGCGTATTAAACAGATAAACAATAATAATGACGGCGCCCGGAGCGGGAGGCGATGATGTGTGGGCGTGTTTTTTGGTCTCCTAGCAACAAACCCAAGCTCGCTCAAAACCGAAGCCCGGGTCCACGGAGACGGACCAGCTGCCTCCTCCGATCCGCTCGTGTTTGTTTTGTTTTTTTTGTCGACTCCCCGGAGAGACGCGACGCCACCGGAGGTTTAACCCAAGATTTCTGCAGCTATGGTGATGTTACGCGTGTTATGTAACGGTTATTTTTAAAGATTCTCCGCCTGATTTTACTGTCAAATAAAAAGAGGAAAAACAGAACCGGTTTGTTTTAAAACAGTTTGCAGAGGCTCAAAAGTTATAATAATTCTTTCGTTTTCTTCCGGTTTAAAAAGATCATGAAAATAATTAAATCCTAATGAACATGATTATTTGGAATTAAACTTAATTCTAGAGTGTGTGGTTTATTCTGAATTTAAAGACGAAGTAAAGGACTAAACCAGGACTAAAACAGGACTAAACCAGGACTAAACAAGGACTAAACCAGGACTAAACCAGGACTAAACCAGGACTAAACCAGGACTAAACCAGGACTAAACCAGGACTAAACCAGGACTAAACCAGGACTAAACCAGAAGGACTAAACCAGGACTAAACCAGGACTAAACTAAACCAGGACTAGGACTAAACCAGGACTAAACCAGGACTCCAGGACTACTAAACCAGGACTAAACAGGACTAAACCAGGACTAAACCAGGACTAAACCAGGACTAAACCAGGACTAAACCAGGACTAAACCAGGACTAAACCAGGACTAAACCAGGACTAAAGGACTAAAGGACTAAACCAGGACTAAACCAGGACCAGGACTAAGGACTAAACCAGGACTAAACCAGGACTAAACCAGGACTAAACAAGGACTAAGGACTAAACCAGGACTAAAAAGGACTAAACCAGGACTAAACCAGGACTAAACCAGGACTAAACCAGGACTAAACCAGGACTAAACCAGGACTAAACCAGGACTAAACCAGGACTAAACCAGGACTAAACCAGGACTAAACCAGGACTAAACTAAACCAGGATTAAACCAGGACTAAAAGGACTAAACAAGGACTATTAAACAAGGACTAAACCAGGACTAAACCAGATCTAAACCAGGTCTAAACCAGGACTAAACCAGAACTAAACCAGGGCTGAACAAGAACTAAACCTGGACTAAACTAGGACCAAACCAGACCTAAAACCAGGACTGAACTTGGACCAAACCAGGACTAAACCAGAGCTAAACCAGGACTAATCAAGGACGAAAGCTGAACTAAACCAAGACTAAACCAGGTCTTTACTAAATCTGAACCAGGATTAAACCAGATCTAAACTGGGTCGAAAAGAGTACTGAGGCAGGACTAAACCAGGTCTTTACTGGGTCTGGACCAGGATTAAACCATCACAAATCCAGGTCTAAACCAGGACTAAACCAGAACTGAACAAGGACTAAACCAAGACTAAACCAGGTCTAAATCAGGACTAAACCAGAACTGAACAAGGACTAAACCAAGACTAAACCAGGTCTAAATCAGGACTAAACAAGGACTAAACAAGACTAAACCAGGACAAAACCAGATCTAAACCAGGACTAAACAAGGATTAAACAAGGACTAAACCAGGTCTAAACCAGGACTAAACCAGGACTAAACAAGGACTAAACCAAGACTAAAACCAGGACTAAACCAGGACTAAATAAGGGCTAAACCAGGTCTAAACCAGGACTAAACCAGGACTAAACCAGGTCTAAACCAAGACTAAAACCAGGACTAAACAAGGATTAAACAAGGACTAAACCAGGACTAAACCAGGACTAAACCAGGACTAAACAAGGACTAAACCAAGACTAAAACCAGGACTAAACCAGGACTAAATAAGGGCTAAACCAGGTCTAAACCAGGACTAAACCAGGACTAAACAAGGACTAAACCAAGACTAAAACCAGGACTAAACAAGGACTAAACAAGGACTAAACCAGGACAAAACCAGATCTAAACAAGGACTAAACCAGAACTAAACCAGGGCTGAACAAGAGCTAAACCTGGACTAAACTAGGACTAAACCAGACCTAAAACCAGGACTAAACAAGGACTAAAGCTGAACTAAACCAAGACTAAACCAGGTCTAAACCAGAACTAAACCAGAACTGAACAAGGACTAAACCAAGACTAAACCAGGCTAAACCAGGACTAAACCAGGACTAAACCAGGACTAAACCAGGACTAAACCCGGACTAAACCAGTCAGATCATAAATCGGCCGCCGTAGGGTCCTGATAGTCGGACTGAATAAACGAGCGTCGTGTCGGGCTAAAAATGACCCGTCCACCTTTAATTAAAAGTGCAGGACCTTTATTAAAACAGTTATTACCTGGAGGTCGTTTGAGATCAGCTCGTTTTGTGTTGTAAATAAAATAAATTAAAATGTCACGGAGACGCAGGTTTAATTACACCGAAGAGTCCAACCTCATTATAAACACGCTGAAAGACTCAAGACTCAAGACTCAAGACTCAAGACCACGGACACGGACACGGGTGGGTTTAGTTATTTATACGTGATTAATGGACGGACTAAACCAGGACTAAACCGGGACTAAACCAAGACTAAACCAGGACTAAACTATGGATAAACCAGGACTAAATCAACACTAAATCAGGACTGAATCAACAAATCATGACCAAACACAAACCTAACCAGGACTAAACCAGGTCTTTACTGGGTCTGAACCAGAGAACTAAGTCAGGTCTAACCCAGGATTATAACAAGGGTAAACCAGGTCAAAACCAGGACTAAACATGGTCTAAGACAGATCTAAACCAGGACTAAACCACGTTTAAACCAACACTGAAACAAGAACCTAACCAGAGTTAAATCAGGACTGAACAAGGACTAAACCAGGTCTTTACTCAGTCTGGACTAGGATTAAACAATTACAAAACCAGAGCTAAACCAGGTCTAAACCAGGTCTAAACCAAGGTCTAAACCAGGTCTAAATCAGGTCTAAACCAGGTCTAAACCAGGACTAAACCAAGGTCTAAACCAGGTCTAAATCAGGTCTAAACTAGGTCTAAACCAGGTCTAAACCAGGACTAAACCAAGGTCTAAACCAGGTCTAAATCAGGTCTAAAACTAGGTCTAAACCAGGTCTAAACCAGGACTAAACCAAGGTCTAAACCAGGTCTAAATCAGGTCTAAACCAGGTCTAAACCAGGTCTAAACCAGGTCTAAACCAGGTCTAAACCAGGTCTAACACAAGCACTAAACCAGGTCTAAACCAGGACAGAACCAAGGTCTAAACCAGGTCTAAATCAGGCCTAAATCAGGTCTAAAACCAGGTCTAAACCAAGGTCTAAACCAGGTCTAAATCAGGTCTAAACCAGGACTAAACCAAGGTCTAAATCAGGTCTAAATCAGGTCTAAATCAGGTCTAAACAGGTCTAAAACAAGGTCTAAACCAGGTCTAAACCAGGACTAAACAAGGACTAAAGCAGAACCTGAACGAGGACTAAACCAGGTCTTTATTAGGTCAAACCAGGATTAAATCATCAGAAACCAGGTCTAAACCAGGTCTAACACAGGACTAAACCAGGACTAAACCAGGACTGAACAAGAACTAAACCAGGACTAAACCAGAACTAAACCAGGTCTAACACAGGACTAAACCAGGACTGAACCAGAACTGCACCAGGACTGAATTAGTACAAAACCAGGATTGAACCAAGGACTAAACCAGGTCTAACCCAGGTCTAAATCACCTCTAGTTTGTCGGTGCGCAGCAGCTTCTGTCCGGCCGAGTTCCCGGTTCCCACGGAGACGGAGGGGCTTCCTGGTACGATCACCGGACCGGAGGGCAGCAGGTCTGAGGGCATCAGGCTCACGCTGTGGGACATGGGCGTGATGTACGGAGAGTAACTGAGTCCAGCTCCAGAACCCAGAGTCTGACCCATGGGGAACGTCTGAGGACAAAGACCAGACGAGAGAAAGATCAAAACAAAACAAGGACTAAAGCAGAACTAAACCAGGACTAGGATTTACTGGGTCTGGATCAGGATTAAACCATCACAAAAACCAGGATTTAAACTTTCTGTATCACCACATAATGACATCAGAAGGTGGATTTCAGTTTGAGAGAAGAACTCAGCCTGAGACAGATCTAAACCAGGACTAAATCAGGACTGATCTAGGACTAAACCAGGACTAAACCATGTTTCAAGCAGCACTGAATCAGGTCTAAACCAGATCCTAACCAGAGTTAAATCAGGACTGAACCAGAACTAAACCAGGTCTTTATTAGGTCTGGACCAAGATTAAACCATCACAAAACCAGGGCTAAACCAGGACTGAACCAGAAATGAACCAAGTCCAAACAAGGATTAAAACAAGGACTAAAACCAGGACTAAACCAGCACTGAACCAGGTCAAAACAAGGACTAAAGCAGAACTAAACCAGGTCTTTATTAAGTCTGGACCAGGATCAAACCATCACAAAACCAGGGCTAAATAACAGGACGAAACCAGAACTAAACCACATTTAAATCAGCTCTGAACCAGGACTAAATCAGGACTAAACCACGTTTAAAACAGCACTGAATCAGGTCTAAACCAGATCCTAACCAGAGTTAAATCAGGACTGAACCAGAACTAAACCAGGTCTTTACTAGGTCTGGACCAAGATTAAACCATCACAAAACCAGGACTAAACCAAGACTGAACAAGGACTAAACCAGAACTGAACCAAGCCCAAACCAGGACTAAACCATGTTTAAACCAGCACTGAACCAGGTCCAAATCAGAACCTAACCCGAGTTAAATCAGGACTTAACCAAGACTAAACCAGGACTGAACCAGGACTAAAACCACATTTGAACAAGCGCTGAACCAGGTCTAAACCAGAACCTAACCACAGGATTAAACCATCGGAAAACCAGGTATTTACCAAGTCTGAACCAGGACTAAACCAAGTCGAAACAAGGACTAAAGCAGAACTAACCCAGGTCTTTACGAGGTCTGGACCAGGATCAAACCATCACAAAAACCAGGACTGAACCAGGACTGAACCAGGAATAAACCAGGACTAAACCAGGACTGAACCAGGACTAAACCAGGACTAAACCAGGACTGGACTAAACCAGGAACCAGGACTAAACCAGGACTAAACCAGGACTGAACCAGGACTAAACCAGGACTGAACCAGGACTAAACCAGGACTAAACCAGGACTAAACCAGGACTGAAACCAGGACTAAACCAGGACTGAACCAGGACTAAACCAGGACTAAACCAGGACTAAACCAGGACTAAACCAGGACTGAACCAGGACTGAACCAGGACTAAACCAGGACTAAACCAGGACTGAACCAGGACTAAACCAGGACTAAACCAGGACTAAACCAGGACTAAACCAGGACTAAACCAGGACTGAACCAGGACTAAACCAGGACTGAACCAGGACTAAACCAGGACTAAACCAGGACTACAGGACTAAACCAGGACTGAACCAGGACTAAAACCAGGACTGACTAAACCAGGACTGACTAAACCAGGACTGAACCAGGACTAAACCAGGACTGAACCAGGACTAAACCAGGACTAAACCAGGACTGAACCAGGACTAAACCAGGACTAAACCAGGACTAAACCAGGACTAAACCAGGACTAAACCAGGACTTCTATTTTCTGTATCACCACATAATGACATCAGGAGGTGGATTTCAGTTTGAGAGAAGAACTCAGCCTAAATAAACACGTGTGAATGAAACAAAAACACAACCCCGGGTCTGTTTTTGACGAGGAAACGACAGAAAATAGCTCAACGTACGGATAAATACTAAAACTAGATTAAAAACTCGGTTAACTTACGGAAATATCAGTTTTTAGATGTTTTGTTTAATGTCGTCATGTGGAAATTTAGGAAGATCAGGTAACGTCTCTTTGTTGGAATCAGATTTGCATTAGTACCACGACAGTTTTAAAGGTTGTATGGAGGATTTTTTTTGTTTTGTTTTTGTTTCAAATTGTCAGTGATAGATTATAGATGCAGTCGCCTTGTAATTATGATGACCAAAAAAAAGAGAATAAAAATTCATCAACTCTGGACGTGGTGGGGCTAAACATTTGCCAATAGATAACGACACTGCCTCGTTATCTGTGAGCTGACAGGCTGTCAATCAAACTCCCTACGTTTCTAGTGTAACTGACTTGCCTGCGCCGCCGGTACGTGGTTTACGTACGACTGTCACGCAGTCCACAGACGCAAGACGCACAGACGCTGTTTACTCCACCAACGCAACAGTTCTTAGCGGCTTTTTTTGACCTATATCTTCCTCGCAGTTCGCACAAAGTTTGTTGCGATGGCGACAAGAATCCAGGAGCAGTTCGCCGCAAAAGAAAGTCAGTTTTTGAGGTCGCTGAAAGAAGAAGACAAGGGGAAAAGCAGCGAAGCCAAACTAAGGTGATTCTTGAAGATTCATTCCAGCGATGGCGCGACTGAAGCAGACGCAGGGTCTAAAGACTGAAGCACTGGTCCACAAATTACTCCTGGACAGGAAACTTCTGCTTATTATGAAAACGTACTTTATTTCCAAGAGTTACACAAACGTTTTTCAGGACACGAAAGCGATATCCTATGTCTGAAAACGTAATTTTCAAGGCAAAGAAAGAGTCCGCTTGCTGCTGCGTGTTGTAGCTAGTTCATTCGCACGGAATCTCCGCGCAACCTCTCTCCCCTTTCCTGCCTCTCCCTTTCCTCTCCCTGCTCCTCACTTCTCGTCCGCGAACGAAATGTCCGCACACCCGCTCCCCCCGCTCCTCACTTCTCCGTCTTGTCTAACCAACACTGTAGTTAGTTGTTTACAAGTCATGTGCAGCGGCTGTAAACAAACCTGTTTGTGGCGTAAGGAGGAGGAGGGAGGAGGTGTTTCTACGTAGGAGCTGTAGGGGAGGGGGAGGTGGTTTCACGCATGCGCAACATTTGAAAAAGGACAAACAGTCGCTGGATTTCTCGTTCCTTGGAAAATCCTCTATACAACCTTTAATTTCTATTCTGATATCTGTGTGTTTTTGTGTGTGCGTTTGTGTTTTTCCCAGAATGCTTTGCTCTGCGTCTCACCACGGGCTGCATGGTGGTTCCCGGGATCATGAACTGCATCTGCTGGGCCAACATGGCGGCGGCGGTCTTCTGCTGGATCAGGTTGTTTCGTCCGTTTATCTCCAGCTGAGTTTTGAGGTGAGCCGGAGGATGGAGGTACTTGCAGTTTTCTCTCGTGCAGCGACCCTGGAACACAAACGAAAAGAAGAAGAACATATTTAATTTAAACAACCTGAGTTTGAGGATTGTTTTTAGGATTCGGTTAGTGTCACGAACGTGTTTAAAGAGTCTGAACCAAAAGTAAAACAGGATTAAACCAGGACTAAACAAGAACTAAACCAGGACAAAGCCAAAACTAAAACAGGAATAAGGACTAAACAAGGAGGACAAAACCAGGACTAAACCAGGACTAAGCAAGGACTAAAACTGGTCAAAAACAGGACTAAGCCAGGACTAAACCAAGACTAAAACAGGACTAAACAAAGGTTAAACCAGGACTAAACAAGGGCTAAAAAAAGACTAAAACAAGACAGAACCAGGACAAAATCAGGACTAACATGAGACTAAATCAGGTCTAAACTAGGACTCAACCAGGACAGGTCTAAAACAGATCTAAACCAGGACTAAATCAGGTCTAAACCAGGACTAAACCAGGACTAAAACAGGACTAAAACAGGACAAAACCAGGACTAAATCAGATCTAAAACATATCTAAAGCAGGACTAAACTGGGTCTAAACCAGGGACTAAAACAGGACAGAACCACGACTAAACCAGGACTAAACCAGGACTAAATCAGGACTAAATCAGGACTAAAACAGGACTAAACCAGGACTAAAATGGGTCTAAAACAGGACTAAACTGGGTCTAAACCAGGGACTAAAACAGGACAGAACCAGGACTAAACCAGGACTAAACCAGGACTAAATCAGGACTAAAACAGGACTAAACCAGGACTAAAACAGGACTAAAACGGGTCTAAAACAGGACTAAACTGGGTCTAATCCAAAACTAAACAAGGACAAAAAAGAGACTAAAACAGGACAAAACCAGGACTAAATCGAAACTAAACCAGGACTAAAACGAGACTAAAAGAGGTCTAAAACAGGATTTAAACCAGAGGACTAAACAGGACTAAAATAGAACAGAACCAAGACTAAACCAGAACTAAACCAGGACTAAGTTTAGACTAAAACAGAGCTAAAGCAGAACCACACAAAAATCAGATAAATAGAACAAAATTGACCTTTCTTGAATAGAATGATCTTGATCTAAATAAGAACAAGTATAAGACCGGGTGGTAATACACTGCTATAAATTTGAGATAAAAATTATGTCTTTTTGTCATTTTTGTATAAAAAAAAAAAAAAAAACAGGACTAAACCAGGACTAAACCAACCTGATTTTTCTCGATGTAATTGACCAAAACGTCTCTCACTCCAGTCCAAATCCAAACAAATCCACTGTGTTCTGTCTGTATGTGATTATAAAATGTTGTACTGTTTGCTCAGGAAGTGCACATTAGCATGCTACTTGTTCCTAACTCTACTACCACTGCAAAACCCCACTCGTTCTACTTTCTCACGTTTTTAAGAACAGTAAAAATCCGCATTTCTTACGACAGAAACGACTGAAACTCAAACAAATATCCAAACTGGACGACGCGTAGTACAAATTCTATCGATTTTTGCAACGAAATACAACAAACTATGCTGATAATGAAATAAAAACGTAGTGTTAATAGTGAGAAATAATGAAGCGTACTCAGAGAAAGTCGGAAACACACGGGTTGGTGCGGTTCAGTCGTTCTCGGAGACGTGTGGGCAGGTGTTATCTCTATAGGAAAAACTGTGTAGGAGGTGAGAATAATTTAAAAATGTGGAGTTAATATGTAAAGAATCGGTTTAAAGTTGTAGAGGATTTCATTAATTTTATCTGTCTCCATGGAAACGAGAAAGTTAAAGGTTGTATAGAGGATTTTTTTTAAGGGAAGAGAAATACAGCGACAGTCCTTGTGCGCGTTCAGAATCACTGTTGAAGTTTCCTGTCTAGAAGTAATTCAGCGACCGACGCGTCAGTTTTTAGACCCTTCGTCTGCTTCGGTCGCGCCATCGCTGGACGAGATCTCCAAGAATCACCTCAGTTTGGCTTTGCTCCTTTTCCTCTTCTCTTCTTCTTTCAGCGACCTCAAAAACCGACTTTCTTTTGCGGCGAACCGGTCGTGGATTCTCGTCCGCCGTCGCGACAAACTTTGTGCGAAATGCGAGGAAGCGACAGTTCGAAAAAGCCTCTAAGAACCGCCGCGCAAACCACGTAATCCCCGCGCTCCGACGAGTCAGTTACACTAGGGAGTTTGATTGACAACCCAACAGCCAATAGAAAATGAGGGAGCCTCGTTTTCTATTGGCTGATGTTTATCTGGCCTCAACACGTCCACAGTTGATAGATTTTCGTTCTTTTTTTTTTTTGGTCATCATAATTACAAAGCTGCTGCGTCTCTGTAATGGTATTTTAATCTTTCACTGACAGTTTGAAACTAAAAAAAAAATCCTCCATACAACCTTTAAACCAGCAGGTCCAAGTTACAGGTCGGATCTGAGGCGAGGCGACGCAGCTCACGGTAAAAAAGTTGATGTTTTTCCAGGTATTTCTTTAGCCGTAAAAGACTTATAATTTAATAAATAGTGGGTATGTTTAATGTGACACTGTGGAACATTCCAGGTAAAGCGATAACATCTCCATGGAGACAAGAAGTCAGCGGACATAAAGCATTCTGGGTCATCTTTGAAACTTCAAGTGAAAAATAAAGCTGCCACTAAAAAAAAAAACTACAAAAAAACAAAACAAAACAAAAAAAATGATTGGCAGCACTGTTCTCTGCCCCGTACACTAGTAAAGATGCACTACGGAACTTTTCTGCTAGTCTCCAGAGAGATAGAGACATTGAAGAGGATTTTTAAAGTACAGTATTTTTTGGACTATAAATTGCACTTTTTTTTTTTCATGGTTTGGGTGTTTCCGGTGCGACTTATATATTAAAATGTTCACACTGACAGCCACAAGAGGGCGCTCTAGTCTTGTGTGTCAGTATCTAGTACGATTATTACGCCCGTACCACTGTCACTTCGCACTCTACTGCGCATGTCTCCTGTAGAAAAAGCCGCTGTCTTGCCACAAATAGTGAAATATTCAGCTAAAAACGGTAATCGAGCAGCAGAAAGAAAGTTTGGAGCGAGCGAGAAACTTGTGAGGGACTGGAGGAAAGCGAGGATGGAGAACACAACATTAACCGGGAGGAAGCACCATGAAACTTTCCTGAAGTCACTGGATGGATGGACAAAGTCTGGACTTCAGCGACACCGAAACCATCCTGTCGGGATTCAGAAAGACCCGAATAATTCTGTAAATATAACCAGGTCTAGCACTAGCACTAGCACCTCTAAACAAGGTCTGAACCAAGGTCTAAACCAGGTCTAAACCAGATCTAAACCAGGTCTAAAAACCAGGAATAAACCAGGTCTAAACCAGGAATAAACAAGGTCTAACCAAGGTCTAAACCAAGGTCTAAACCAGGTCTAAACAAGGTCTAAACCAGGACTAAAGAAGGTCTAAACAAGGTCTAACCAAGGTTTAAACCAAGGTCTAAACCAGGTCTAAACCAGGTCTAAACCAGGTCTAAACCAGGTCTAAACCAGGTCTAAACCAGGTCTAAACCAGGAATAAACAAGGTCTAACCAAGGTCTAAACCAGGTCTAACCAAGGTCTAAACCGGTCTAAACCAGGTTCTAAACCAGGTAAAAAGGTCTAAACCAGGTCTAAACCTAAAAGGTCTAAACCAGGTCTAAACCAGGTCTAAACCAGGTCTAAACAAGGTCTAACCAAGGTCTAAACCAGGTCTAAACCAGGTCTAAACCAGGTCTAAACAAGGTCTAAACCAGGTCTAAACAAGGTCTAAACCAGGTCTAAACAAGGTCTAACCAAGGTCTAAACAAGGTCTAAACAAGGTCTAAACCAGGTCTAAACCAGGTCTAAACCAAGGTCTAAACCAGGTCTAAACCAAGGTCTAAACCAGGTCTAAACAAGGTCTAACCAAGGTCTAAACAAGGTCTAAACAAGGTCTAAACCAGGTCTAAACCAGGTCTAAACAAGGTCTAAACCAAGGTCTAAACCAGGTCTAAACCAGGTCTAAACCAGGTCTAACCAAGGTCTAAACCAGGTCTGAACAAGGTCTAAAAGGTCTAAACAGGTCTGAACTGGAAGCTGACCTAAACCAAGTCTAGATCTAACAGGTCTAAACTGGTCTAACCATAATCAGAATCAGGACCTGGATTAAACCAAGTCAAAGACAGATCTAAACCAGGTCTAACCGAAGATCTAAACCAGGTCTAAACCAGGTCTAAACCGAGGTCCTTCAGTGACACCGAAACTGTCGGGATTCAGAAAGACCTGAATAATTCTAACTGGAGCTGATGCTGAGTCTGACGACAGCGACACAGAAGAGTTTGTGTCGCTCTGTTTACCTCCGGAGGTCGTGGAGTTGCTCAGAAGTGACACCGAGGATGAAGAATTGAATGGATTTAGTGATTTGGAGTGAGATGGAGAGTTTGTTTAACTTGTTCTGTTGTTTATGTTATATTTTATCTGAAGAACTGTTCACATGTGACGTTAACAGTCTGTTCTTCTCTCTTCTTTTGTTTTTACTACAACTTCACTTTCAACATTAAACTTTGCATTTACAACGGATGTCAAGAAAATGGACTCGGATTTATCGACTAACGACGTACAATAGAATCCAGCATAAAATTTGAGCCAAACTGGAGAAGAAATGTTAAATGTTAGTGAAATCTTAAATATAACATCAATAATCTTAACAGTGTTTGATTAAAATGACGAGTCCAAACTGTCATAAGAACTTTAAATACTGTATATTCCAGATAAAACTTTCTTTTTTCCTGGCCTTCTTCTCCTGGTCCCGTCGGTCTGCTTTTATCTTAAGCCCGTTAACATCCATCGGACACTTGGACCATTACAAACGAGGCATTCATCACCGTTTTTACAGCCGCGTTTAAAACTGTCTGTGCGCTGTTTGCTCCCCACAGCTTAGAGACGCCGCCGACAACAAAACACTAATGCAGCCGAGTCGGGCCAAGAGAGCGAAACTGAAACACCGCGCTTCTGTTCACTCTG